CTACATGCACTTGGCCGGTTTTAAAATGTATTCTCTTCCTTTTGACATTCTGTTTTTCTGATTTTTATAAGTAATAATAATAAGTTTAATTTATTTGCCAAAATACATTTCACAAGTTGATACATTTTATAGAAGTATATGTATTGTACCTGCAAGCAGGTGTGAAATTGCAGTTAGCTATTTTGTCATGTGTCATATTAACATTTTGTTTGTAACCATTTTGTTAACTTACTTTAAACATTGTTCCAGTTTCTAATTTTATATTGTCGGATAATTTATTATATATACTTACATACTAACATGTTATAAGCATTAACTCTATAAATACATGCGTGGCAAGGAGGTTGATTAAATTAGTTTCTATATTGACATCTCGTGTGTCTATTGCTTATTTTTACGCGCTTCTCGAAATACTTGATGTGAATTGTGATCCCTGACAAAGAAACATGCTTCCTTTATGCAGGGCAATGGAAGTGTTCCAATTTTTTTTGCATCCTAAAAACCCTATCGATGTCTACTGAGTTATCCCATAAGAGCAGCCCATATTTTAAGGCGGATGAAACATATCCGAGTAAGCCATTCGTGCAGCCTCTGTAGATACTGTTTGTCTCAATCTTTTTAAGGCAAAAACGATTTTTTCTATTTTCGAACAGAGTCGATATGACATTTCCAGTTTAAGGGTACGGCCAGAGTGCACTCAGATTCAGATTCAGATTCAGACTCAGAAAACAGGCTCGTGAGATGTCAGCTTGAGGAAAGCAGGTGATGGCCACAGTGGCAGCAGATAATACAAGACGCCGACGCGAGCACTGTTGCCTGCCAGGTTGGGGAGGTTACTCCAAATTTGGGGGGTTTTTAATGCGATGGGGGTATTAATGGGGGAAGAAATTTTGTTTTGGGGGAAACGGGGGTTTTCTTTATTACATTTTTATATAAAAATAAAACCACTTCATAAACTTTTAATCTGTAAAAAGTCGCAATCGACAGTCATTCAACAATATCTCTTTCTCATTCGACGCGTTTGAAGCTGTTGATCCAGAAACTTAAATTGGGGGGTGTTTTCGCAGTTGTAAACATGGAGGAATTTTCTAATAAAGATCGATCGGAGAATATGGGGAATACCATCATTTGTTTCCTTAATTAAAAGTCGATAGGAAACGTTTCATCCAATATTTTAGGATGGAAGTGGAAACGTTCTAACTACTACATTTTAAAAAAAATTGAACCTCATATGATGAAGAATTAACATCAGTCTCTCCTTTTCATTCTGTATAGAGAATGGCAAAGATGCACTGTTGTCAAATTTAAGTTTAGATTTAGAGAATCGTGCTAGAATCGACACTAGATCGTATGTGGTTATTATATTTACTTTATTTTTGAAATAAATATATTTTTGTTGCTCTTTACCTTACTAATATTATAATAACAATCTCTAATATTTTTTAAGAAAGCTTTTACTGTCAAAAATATGCTTAGTAATTTCGCCTACTACGTATTTTTTAGAAATATAGTATTTGATCGCCTATTAAAGTAGGATACTATATTTTATAGGAGGGTTGGCAACCCTACCTGCGGTCCGAGCGGCGCTGGTGAATTCAGAATCTGAATGACCTAAACATTCCGGTAGTGTCTGACTCTTGACTCCGAAACCTGCGCAGGCCTGCTGCCACTATGGCCACCCTGCTTTAACTACACTGTTTATTTCACGCGCTTGTTTTCAGAGTCTGAATCTGAGTGCACTGTGGCCGTACCCTAAGTTCTTATCAACATTAAGGATGATGACTATTTTTTTTTCTTTGTTTATCAGGTAGATTATCAAAAAGTATTGGACACGTATTTTTTCTTTTTTCACACAATATAAACATTGCAGAGATATATTGATTTGAAAAATCGCATGACGTCACGTTTGAGTACACTTATAAGTGAAAATTCACTCAAAAGTGACGTCACGAATCCCTACTCCCAAACTATGACGCGCTATAACTTTGTCATTTTTTGGTTGATTGCCCAAAGAAAAAATACGTGTCCATTATTTTTTTGATCACTAACTGACGGACTAAATAGATTTTTTTTTACTGTACCCCGTCATCACCCCTATTGTATCAAGAAACCTTTTTAAAGGCATTTTTTTTTTCTTATTCTTTAATGTGTTCTTGTCTTTTCGACATTATGTTTCAAATAGAATTACTATCAAAAACTTTCATAAAACTAATCTACCATCATTAAACTACTGAAATATGTATATATTTTTATAATTAGTTCATTAATAATTATTATAAGACTCGAAACATCACCGGTAGAATGCAATATATACTAGTGCAAGCTAGTGCTCTGAAGATGTGTGGATAGAATACTTACGAAATAATTTAGAAACCCAAGTCAAACGAAAAGGAAAAATTTTATTCAAAAATACATAATCTATTTATAAATTCATAATTTACAAATAAAACTAGTAACAGGAAAAATATGTACCGATTTCTTCTTACAACAATTGCATTATAATAATAGCTAAACTCGTAATAAAGTACGTCGTAATAAAATATATTAATCAAAAATTACAATTATTTTTGAAGTTATACTTCTTTAGGCGCGTTATGAAAAAATGATGAGAGTGAAATTTTAAGATGCGCGCGCATCACTGTAACACAAAATTCGCTTTAGCGACTAACTTCGTGCTGTTACTTTTGTGTTTACCGCACATTAAGAAAATCTACCAACAAAATAGAAATAGAATCTCTATTTAGTGGGTGCTATGCTAACGACTGCATGGTGAAGGCCTATCAAAAGTATTTATTAATCTGGAACAACGGAACCAAAGCGCGATTCAGAAGGCTACAGCGCCATCTCTTGACCATTGGTGCAGTAGAACCAAAAACCACATCTTTATTTTTTGTAATAAAGTAACAGTTATAGGTATTCAATTTTCAATTCATTTTTCCAGACTTTTTATTAATCTATTGTAATTAATTATTTGCATGCAATTAAAAACTAATTTTAAACGATGCGAAAGAAGGATAACTTCTACGCGCCTACATAAGTACACGCACCCATTTTTTCTTAGGTAATCATCATTGTGAAAATAAATTGAATTGATTGAGTAAAGCTGATGTAAAATAACATAGAACTAATCTTCATATTTTGAGGTTGCGCTGTAGTTAGGGTTACCATCCGTCCGGATTAGTCGGGACTTGTCCAGACTTTTCGACTACAGTCTGGACTATGTCCAGATCTTTAAATTCATAGAAAATATGAAAAATAAAAGTACATATTAATTTAAATACCATACCATTGTAACTAAGTGACTAATGGTACCATTTTCAGACCAAAAAGTCCGGATATTTTCGAAATGTCGACTTTTATTTAAAAATCCTTAATGGTAACCCTAACTGTAGTACTATTACGGAATACAAATGTTATTGCATAGGACTAAATAGTTGCAGCAGTTCCTTAAAAAACAATGCCAGCTATAAAACTAGTATAAAATTACATGGAACTAAGGGCACAAAAATTCAGTTTTAAGGTTTCATTAGTTCCATGTGGTACTAGCTACATGGAACTACTGGGAATAATTGTTTTTGTTGTTGTTGTTAAATCCTATCTCATACTAAAATTACTTTTCAAATGAGAATTCATAATCATAATAATATTCTTTGTTATAATATAAAGGCAAAGTCTAGGTAAACGTTGTACACAACTATGGACCCATAATAATCATTATTATTGGTTTAAGCTTTTCTGATGCAAAGGTTTAACATAGTGAAACTAAAAAAATAACTATGTAATGAGGGCTATCGCGTATGAATCCGCCGCTAGAGGCGCTAGTGTAGCGTGAGGTCTCCGAAATGTCAAATGTTATTGCTTGTTGGTTGACTACGCGGGTTTATTTCTTATTAAAATAATGTTGTGAATAATTGGTAACAATTCGGCTTAATTATGGCAAATATGATTTATGTGGCAATGAATGTCAGTTATTAAAAATTTGAGCTTAGAAAAATGATTATGTTCCCATTTTTTCCGAATAAAACGGAACTGGGCGTCACTGTGGCATGGCCTATTATGTTTAGGATATGGTTCTTTTGTGTTAAAATACGATCTAAATGTAACCTTTGATTTCATATGCGTATTAATAAACTTTAAAAGTTACAATTTAGGACCTCACTCAACAGTGGCGCCATCTGGTGAGGCAGAAAACGGTAGCCCTCATTCAGTGTTGCCAGATTTCTTTTTTGCAAAGTCGGGATTTTGGAACATTTTGAGTGAAAAAAGCGAGACATAGTAAAAAATCGTATAAAATCAGAAGTTTTTAAATATTTATGTTTTTATTTGAATTCAAATGACGTTTACGTGACAATAGATAGCAAAAACAGCCATAGAAAATGTATTTTAATAAAATATAATAATTTAAATCTTTACCCTATCGTTAAATTCTTGAGGCTTATTCGTTTTCGGAATAAAAAAACTGAGCCAGTCCCGTGCGGAACATTTTATTTTGATTTACAAACCAAAATGCTGATGTAATTCTTTGTGTTATGAAACACTGGTGGATTTTTGAAATTCAACTTGCTCCATGTGAAGTAGTAGTTGAAATTTAAAGTGTTTTAAGTAAATTTAAGGTATTTACATATTTAGAATGCAGACATTACTATATTAATTTCTTATTATTACATTTTGTACCATTAATGGTGCAAGTTAATGAGTGCATTTTGTACAACAGGATTAAATTTAGTTTAAAAGATAGGCTGGCAATCTTCCACTATTCTGAACAAATTTATCAATCTACTAGAGCTATAGAGGTGCCCTGTGGCTTCATCCGCAGGATTTAAAGAAAAATGTACCCTGGACAGAAAGACATATGCTGTTGTGTACTTTGTTACGCCGCCATTTCCAAATCCAACACAAAAAGAATTATTCAAATCAGACCAGTAGTTCTTGAGATTTGTGAATTCAACCAATCAAATAAACGAACAATCTCTTCAGTTTTATAATATTAGTATAAATTCTCCATACATATGTGAAAAATTGGTGCTACTTAAATAAGAACTTAATTTCAGTTTTTATTTAATGTCAATTTTAAGCAGCCTCGAAGTGGCGTTGCTTTTCCAATGTCGATATGAATATACATGACATATAATTGTTTGACATTTTATTGCTATTACAGTACAAAACATTTTATGTAATCATCTGCCAATAAGAATTTAATTTATGCCATTTTTATAAAAGTATAGTCTTAGAAACTACAATGATTATCAAAATAGATTTCCTTAAGACTACAAAGTGACATCAACTGTTCTTAAAACCCTTTTGTTCATACATTTCACCTATATGAAGCAGCATTAGTTTGATATGCGCCTTTGTCTCCGCTGCTTTCTGTTGTAACTCTGCAGCCTTTTCTTCGAATGCCTTGATTCTTATATCCAAATATTTATTTGATTCATCTATGGTAAACTCTACAAAATGATTTAATCCCACATTCATGAGTAAAGTTGACATGTCTGTTACAGAGGCTTCCATGAAAAAGTTACAGCCTAAGTTCACCTGAGTCTTAAATCCTGAAGGATGTACGTTCTTATCAGAAATAACTTTTAGAGTGTGCTTTTGTTGAATGAGGTCTGCCACTTCTCCATTGATCATCTGCAACCTTATCTCCAATTTCTTAAGGTCTTCCTTTAATACGTCATTTATGAAGTTTTCATATTTGAGTATATTCTCGTCAGTGTTACTTGTAGCCATCATTCAATTATTCTGCAAATTCTGTAATGATGATAAAATTATCAATCCAAGACAAACTTTAATCAGTTAGTACCTATTTTGAATGTCTTTCTCTTAGATTAAAACAAAAAGGGGTTTTTCTACATAAAAGTAAGTACCTACCTACTTTATCGTACATAGGAAATGTTGTTTTTTTTCGATTAAGTACATGTAATTAGAAATTTAATTATTATTGTAGTTTTGTGATAAATAACTTTGTGCTAACTTAAGAATACCTTCTTCTTCTTTTTTCAATATATAGCGGTGAGGTGCCGTTTTCGCCACCCAAGTTTTTGGCTTTGCTATTGTTAAATTATGTTGTAAATCACATTTTGATACGTAAAATGCAAATATTTTAAATAGAAGGGCTAGCTTATTAATACAGAGGTGTACAAAAATAAATATCTCTTTAAGCTAACCTAAACTCTTGTTTACTATTTCTATTTTATATGATGGCTGTTGAAAACTGTTTGTGAAGACGGACTTGTCTTATTAAAAAAGTATTTACTCAGTTTATAGTTTCGAATATTGTACGGATTTATTAAAACATTAATTATATTTAGTATCAGTTATAACAATTATTCTGATGAATAATTTTTCTCAATCACATTTTATTAAATTTTATAAAACATACAGTATACCAACCTCATTAAAACAATCTTTGTAAACGCGCTTTCGTGCAGCGCCATCTATTACGTGGTTTAAAAACTATTAGGTTAAAATGTCAATGAGACAACTTTTACATAGCATGCTATATTTCAACCGGTATAATTTTATAAAATTAACGTAGATGGCGCTGTTTGCATAAAAAGAAGGTCCTTAGTAATATAGTTCTAATAAAAGATGGCTCTAGTAGTTTTAAAAGTGTCTGTTTTTTTAATTAATTTGTTTGATGCATAGTTGAATTTGACTATTCAATGTCAGTCAGTCAATGTCACGGCATATACATTGAATGTGTAAAATTTTGACTAATGGTTACTTTTTAGGGTTTCGTACTGATCGTCGTCTGATCCTTTATTTTGAAACGCGTGAAGGTATTAAGTTATAATTTAAACCATATACCTACTCAAGTATCCGCTTGAAGCTGCGATAACATTAAACTTCTAAGTTAACTAATAAAAAGATACGGCTGTTTATCTGTCTGTCTGACAAGACCCTTATCTCGGGAACGCGTGGAGGTTTTGAGTTGAAAATTTACACCGTATGCTCAACACGGACCTGAAAAAACGACCTCTTTTTTTCATGTCCGTGATGCTCAAGTCTATTTTCTTTTGAATCTGCGAAAAAAACAAACTTATAAGTTAACTAATAAAAAACATTCATAAACTCTCATTAGGCATTTGTTGAAATACAGACAACTTCGAGGAACCGTGGCCTACTACAGAATGTATTAGATTTTGAGGTTATAATTATTATACTTAATCGTAAACGATGTACACTTTATGTATTCTGAATAGATTTATTGTTTACCACTATGTAATCACGTAAATAATATGAATTAAATGAAGATATAATGAAATTAACAATAAAAATAATAAATGCTCATAGTCATATTGATGCGTGTTGGCAGTTGGCACCTATACCTTCCTGTTTAATAATAGATTTCTCTTAAAATGAAATGTTTAAAGACTTTTCCTTTACCTGTTACTATATTTAATTATTGGTAATTAGGTATGTACCAGGTTATCATTACATTACCTGGTTACATAAAAATAAATAAATATTAAATGGGATGAGAGTGTAAACTATCTTTATAACACATTTGCTTGTAAAGCATCTCTTATTGCACCAATTTCAATATCATAATCTATCACATTACACACGCGTGCGGTAACGTAAAGTAAAACGCATGGCTTATTATGTTCCGTCTAAAAACAAACGATACTTTTTTAAATCTTAGCAAAGAGTTTTTGTGTCAGAAAAGTAGCCAACATTTTCTTAATAAAATTAACTTTGGGAGATAAAATATAATATACATAAACATTTAATTCTTTTATTTGATTCATTTTGACAATAAATTACAACCATGTATCGGTAACACTGGCTGTTTTTTGTTCCTTTGCCTAAAAAAAGCGTTGATAAGCGCGCATCACTAATCTGTGAAAGAGTTGTTTCTTTTTCTTTTCGCTGTATTGTTTTTATTTGAAAATATTGTCAAGTAGTAACGAATTTATTAATTTCACACGGCCAGAAGTCGAAAAAGGCTACGCTAAGCCTCTTGCCCGAAAAATCCACGAATATATACCTACTTAAGTCAAGCGTATCAAAAATTTATCTTATGGAAAACAAACAAAGGTGCAACTACATTTTCAGAAAGTACGTACGTAGGTAGTATTATTTCCTCGCAAATGTGTTATAAAACGTCGTATGACATACGTACGGTTTGATAATTACAGCCTCTGCCTTCTTATAGCCCTCACCTACGGGTCGGGCTAACAATATCGCCTCGGCTGTAATTCTCAACTTACCGCACTTATATCATAATGTACTATTACATAATTTCAGAAATTATCAACCTATAAATATAATATATATACCAGTCATCATCATCAGCCTATTAATGTCCCCACTGCTGGGGCACAGGCCTTCCCTATGGATGGAATAGGGAGATTGGGCCATGACCCACCGCGCGGGCCCAGTGCGGATTGATGGGTGCTAACGACTGCAGATGCAGCCGGGACCAACGGCTTAACGTGCCTTCCGACTCGGAGGAGCTCGAGATAGTAAATTTTTGGTCACCCATCCAATGACCGACCACTGCGAAAGTTGCTTCACTTCAACGATCGCAGCCGAACGCGCTAACCACTTGCGCCATCGAGCTCCTCTTATATACCAGTGATTAGTATTATTAACTAAGGAGGGTAGGTACCTAGTAAGTAGCGCACTGACTCGATTTCAAGACAGACAGCCGCGTATCCACTAGAGGCAGCCTCGGGTCGAGCGGCTGCCTCACTCCGAGGCTGCGCAAGTGCGTGGCAAGTGGAGACGCTGCCTCAACCTGAGGCACGCCGCGACGCGAGGCAAATTCGTCGCCGCGAGCCGAGCCATATTTTGTCGGTTTCTGTGCCGTGCTCAAAGGCGCCTCAGTCCGAGCCGTGTGTTTAATGGAGACGTTTTGGCTTTTTACTGCGCAGTGCGCCGCCGGCGGATCAAGCTGAGGCGACACGCCTCGAGCTGATCCGTAGCCGTTGCCTCAGAGCGAGCAGCAACTGAGGCTATTTGCTTCAAGTCGAGGCCGCTCGACGCGAGGATGCCTCTAGTGGATACGCGGCTGACGAGATATCTCACGCTTGAAGTTGTTGTGTATCAGTATAATTATGCTTTCTTTCTTAGTACAATATCCCATAACACAAGCCTTACGGTGCTTACTTTGAATCTAATTGAAGAAGCTAATTGGTGTGAGTGTAGAGAATATATATTTATTTATTTGGCGTTCAAGTATTGACGTCCAATACAATGCTGTTCCGAGTTTCGAATTATAATTTAACATCGCCGTCCATATTCCATATGGCGGAAGCAGTAATTTCTTCCTCAGACTGCTACATTCGCGTGAGCTTAAGCTTTGTTAAGTACTGCTATTAGCGGTCAGGTTCCATTATATTATTAGTACTCAGAACATTCAATAAGTTTCTAAGTAATAATGTGTTTATTCTTTATAATAATGCATGTTCGCCGTCGTCGAAAAAAAGATTATGAATATTACGCATTTAATAATATGCTCCTCATATTTTATTTAACTGCAGGAGGCTGACAACCCTGTTCATACTTAGTGAAGCTACACAGACATTATCAAGGGAAAAAGATAAGGACAGAAAAGGTATTGAACAAGATAAGTGGCAATTTTTCACCCGAAAATTATATTTATTAATAAAATTGTAGTGATATTGAATACTCTCATTGGATATTTCAATGTCAACCTGTCAGTTTAATTTTGACAACTGTATCGAAGCTGTCATATTCGAATGACAACGTCAGTTTTTACTTTGGAAAGCCCAAAGTGTCGCCACATAGTAAAACTTTCCCCGAACTGGTCCACTTTTGATATTTCTTTGATATTTCTGGGGCGTGGTGTCTTACTGCCCATGACAGACCCACCATACCCCTAGCCATACCCCTGGGGGTAGGGTAGGACTGAACCATACCACCGTTGTAGTGCTTTTATGGAAAAATAGAATAAAAATAGATACCTAATAGATACAAATATTTAGTTTATTAAAAAAACCGAAATCCGTTCTGGCAAAACCTAAAAATATAACAAATACTTATTTTGTTATTTATCTTACACAGAAAAACTTAAAAGATGTGATAAAGAAAGTGATGATACACGATAAGATTATTATTGAGAACAATCAAGTAAAAATGAATTATAAGTACATATTTATACTATGTCGTATGGGATGCTATTGACACTAGGTACCTACGTAATATTCGGTAAAACAAAACCTGAAAGCATATAGTGCACAGCACTACGGTGGTATGGTTCAGTATCCCACTCTACCCCTGGGGGTATCGCTAGGGGTATGGTGGGTCTGTCATGTTACTGCCCATAGTTCATAGTAGCTCAGCTAATGGATGGTGACAAAATGATTTGTGGTGGATGTCGGCAAACAACGGGGGGGCTCCCCCGAAGTTAAGACTCGGGTTAAGAACCGATTTTTAATAACACCTCTCACACTATAACAATCGCAATGAGTGCATACCAGTTATTTGCATTGGAAATGCTGTAAATAAATACAGACAAACAGTCAAGATTTAAAACAAGAACAATCCACAAACGAAAAACTACGTACGCATCAATCCGGAAAAATTGACTTACTACTTCAACAAAGGAAGGAAGGAATATTACTAAACCTTTTGACAACTGTAATCACCAACATGAAGTCAAAATGACGTCCTTTCGTATAGCAACTTGGAACATAAATGGACTGGCACAACACATATTAGAGCTTGAATCTCTTATTGTCAAAAATAGACTAGATGTTGTTCTCATATCTGAATCACATGTTACCTCGAGACACTCTTTTCGAATAAGTACGTACAATATCTACACTACTCCCCACCCAGATGGAAAAGCACATGCAGGGTCAGCATTTGTCATTAAATCTTACCTTAGACATTCTACCCTAGAATCATGTTCAGCTCCATTCATTCAGGCTACCACTGTGAGATTAAAAGAAACCACCGGACCATGAATTATCTGGGCAATACAATGTCCCCCAAAGCATAAATTTACTGAAGATATGTTCTTACAATACTTTCACACTCTTGGACATCGTTTCATAAATGGTGATGATTGGAACGCTGAGTACGTCTTCTGGGGCACACGCTGCACGGTAACTAGAGGTCGGGTGATAAAAAGTTTGGTAGATCGCAAAAAACTACCTACTAGCCGACAAATTCAGACAACTACCGGATCTCTTAGATTTATTGGTCGCTGGTGGAATGAACAACCGCTACAT